TAATTTTTTTCTCAAACAACTTTGGCAATGACAGCTATTCTCAAACCATTAAGGAAGAATAAATGAATCAGAATCAGAATTAGCTTTATTCGCCAAGTGTGTGCAAACACACAAGGAATCTGTTGTGGTTTTTTAGAAGCTCTTGGTACATACATACATATGGCATGAGAACAGAAAGAACAATTAAATAAGTAAATAAGTAAGACTAAAGAAAAAATAATAATAATAATGTGGTAAGTCTGGAACAGAAGATTTATGTACAGATTTGTGCATTATTTACTGTACAGTTGTATAAATAAAAATATGCATATATCACCACAATACTTGAAAGACAGGCAATTGCTGGAAATGGAGAAATGAATTACAGAAAACAGGTAATTATTTCTGTGTTAGCTGTTTAAGATGGAGATGGCATGGGGGAAAAAACTGCAATGGGGAAAAAAGCAGTTTAAAGTTAAGGCAAAATTTGTAAACTTTTAACTACCTTAAAGGGTCATGAAACACTAAAACACATTTTTTGAGATGTCAACAGATATGTACAGGCTATAGCACACATTATGTTTATTGTTAAGGGAAAAGTGGTTATTTTTGTTCATTTTTTGGAGTAATTTCGTCCTTACAGTTTAAAAAGCGAAGTTGAACCAACGTCATGAAAAGTGACATATATGCGTTAATTCAGAGTGCCGATTGGCTGCTGTGGCTGGAGATTAAGAACAGTCTTCTTCCACCTCAGAAACATTGCTAAGCTACGGAACATGTTATCTGTTTCTGACGCAGAAAAGCTATTTCATGCATTCATGACTTCTCGACTGGATTCCTGTAATGCACTACTACTGTAGCTGGTTGTCCTGCATCTTCAATAAACTAGCTACAGTTAGTCCAAAATGCAGCTGCTAGAGTTCTTACCAGGTCAAAAATATGACCATATTACCCCAATTTTATCATCTCTACACTGGTTACCTATTAAAGTCGGCATGAAACGGAAGTTGCTATTGTCTTTTCTTCTCTACTGTGACGTATATCAGAGTGAAACGGCATCTGAAATGAGAGGGCGGGACTTGATTTCGTCCTTCGGGAATTGATTGGATCGTTGGAAGTTGGGGCGTTGCTAACAAAATGGAGGCAGATCTGAATGCCAGTTTGCAGTTAGTGGTGGGGGATTTCTCTCCACTAGATTCACAGACGACACCCAAGCATGAATAAATGGTTTATTTATTAAGGATGACAACGACGATCAACGGCACAAAACATGCCTAAACAACATGCGCGAGAAAGAGAGAGATATTCCATTAAAAATGAAGAATTTTCCATTTTGATTTCATGGTGACTTTAAGTTCCGTATTGATTTCAGAATATTGCTACTGACCTATAAGGCACTAAATGGTTTAGCTCCTGTATATTTCACTGATCTTCTTATGCCCTATAATCCATCACGCTCTTTAAGGTCACGAAACTCTGGACTTTTAGTAATACCTAGGGTATCTAAGTCCACTAAAGGAGGGAGAGCCTTTTCCCATCTGGCTCCTAAACTCTGGAATAGTCTTCCTGATAATGTCCGGGGCTCAAA